TTTTTTGTCAGAGATTGGTACATTATTTTGGATTCTTTAGACTTTAGACAAATTGGCATCTCCTGGATGGATGTATACAGGTTAGCATGCATATGTGATTTTTGTTGCTTTGTCTTGAATCACTAAATGGTACAGTAGTCTAAAGGCTTGAAGATTGCTTTGCATTAAAAGGAAGAACTGGCAAGTCTTCAGTTATATAACTTTCTTCATTTTCTGACAGGTACAAATATAAAGACAATGTTTAACTGTGATTTCAAGCTTAAAAAATATGTTAGGCAGGTAGGCAGCCATCCATACTCCAAGCAAACACAGACAGTTGAGTTAAAGTGTAAAGAATTGACACACTACTTGTGATATCTAAATTTCTTCATCTTATGGATGGTGCTTAAAGACACTTCTTAAAAACAAGGGTAATGCCTGTTGTGGGTCAATTCAGACCACTATCCCTTCAGTTCTCAAATGGGATTTAATGTTCTACCCTCTCCCTCACCTGCTGTATGCCTCAGCTTGCAAGTTTTGTCTTTTTCCTGACCCTTTGTTGGTCTTTCCTATATCCCACATATAAGTGAAACCATCTGATATTTGTCTTTTCCCTTCTGACTTATTTTGCTTAGCATAATCCTCCCAGCTGCAAATGGCATGAGCTCTTTTTGATGGCTGAGTAGTATTCCATTGTAGATATGTACCACATCTTTTTTTTTTTTTTAAAGATTTATTTATTTATTTATACAAGCACTGGGTACAGTCAGAAGCGCGGGATGGTGAGAGAATTCACCAGAGCGGGGAACAGAACAGGCAGACTGATGAAATACACTGCTAAGGGGAGCAGCGGGTCTGGCAGGAGAGGTCTGCGCGCCATGTGGGACCCTTCCCTGCAGCCAGGGATAGAACCGGCGCTGCAGAGGCTGCAGGCAGCTTCGCAGCCTGGCGCTCAACCGCTGCGCCACCAGAGAGGCCCTACATCTTCTTGATCCGTTTATCTGTTTTGGGGCATTTCGGTTGTTTCCATGTCTTGGATGCTGTAAATAATGCTGCAGTAAACATAGGAGGGAAGATTTTGTTTCAAATTAGTGTTTTTGTGTTCTTTGGGTAGATACCTCGGAGTGGGGATCATGGGTGTTACAGTGGTGGCAGAACTAGAGACTATACCTCAGAGGAGAAATCAAATACTGTCCAAAAATCAACAACGATATAAGAAAATAAATTCATTTAAACAAAATGAGGTTTATTGTCCTTTGCAGGCAATAATTTCTGTTGTTTTCCTGAAGGTGGACTCCTAGAATAATAAAATGATTTCTGTAGAATATAAAGAACAATGAAACAGCCAAGATTGAATCCTGCTATTGCTACTTACTAGCTAGATAAGCCACTGAAAATTTCCAGAAAATTAGTATTCCCACAAATTAAAATAGAGAGGATGATGACATAATAATAAAAATGATAATAACATCTGCCCTTTCAGCCTCAAGGAGCTGGGATGGTATACATGAATATGCTCTGTGACTATACAATATCATTACACAATATGTAGTAGTATTAAAGTGGTAATTTTAATTTTACGTGGACTCTTTCATTGTAGATAGCTTTAATTTGGTTTTGCTGGTGATTATCTTTGGTTCGATCTAGACTGAATGTGTCATTACAATTTTATCTTCTTGCTGGGTTATAGTCTTGTAAACTTGGAGGATAGTTTTAATTCAGTTGTTGTTTGAGTGACTTTGGCTGGGTCTGGACTGGTGTATGACTGGTGTTGAATTTTGATCAGTCCCTGGTATCACACTCCCTTCCTGGAACATGCCTAAATCTTCTTCAGCTGTTTTTGTGCCCGGCCTTTAATTTTAGGCCGACCATCAGATGTGCACTGGGTCTCCTGGATGACTTCACGCTCTGAGCATAAAGGAAATTAAAAACCTGACCTTGATATCAAGCCTTATTCCACTGCAGATAGGAAACAGGCGAGACAGAGTGCCTGTGGCATCACCCTATCACCTAGTTCTTGAGCAGTGAATGAAACGTCTGTCCACGGAATGACAGGTCTGTGTCGGGTGTGTGGGTGGACCTCTTGCTAAAGACAAATACTTGTTTTAGAGGAAACAAGCAACTATAAACCAGGGAGACACTACAGAAGGCAGCGGGAGGAGGGAGTAGGATCAAAACAAGGGGGGTGGGAATTGTACAGGGACTATAACCAAGATGAAAATGCATACATTGTGCAAAAATGAAAAATGATGTAAAAAATATATAAAATGAAAAAAAACAAAAAAGAGAGAAAAATAAAGTTATTTTGATAATATTATTTTAAATATATGTAGAAATGATAACATTTTAGATATTGCACTAAGTAAAATATATTATTAAAATATAAAAAAAAATACAAAAAAACCCCAAAGCAAAACAAAACAAAAACCTGAGATCCCAGGCTCTAGAACAAAAAAATTTCTTTTACTTTGCCTTCCTAAATACAACCAGTTACTTAAGCTTCATAACTCACTTTATCATCTGTAAAACAGAGATTCTCTGAACTTCCACCTGGGTTACTGTCACTGGTAAATGAAAGAAATTTTGTAAAGTTGTCTAATTATGTACATAGTATATATATATATATACACATACACACTTATCTATATAATGTTATATATATACACTATATAACATACCATATAACATATATAGTATATATACTTAACTATGGCATGTATTATAGAGAATATATAACATACTATATTATTTATATTATATAGTTTATAGATTTATATATATCATATATAGTATATATCATAGTATGTGATATATTTACATAGGATATATACACATATCACATATATCACCATATATACACTATATGCTATGATATATAGTGTATACTCTATGTATACTATGATATATACTATATGCATGTATATATTATATACTTTGTATATATTGATTTTATAAAGATATATCATTATTATTAATAATATGCAATTGACAGAAGATGGAAGCACCAATAAATGGGAAGGAAAAGAGAGAAGTGTATCCACAGTGTAGCTCTATACATTTTAGGATCATATCCAGGTCTGCGGAGAACTATTTAATTAATCTGTTGTGTAATATATTCTTTTCATAATGTATCACCACATAATTCTTTTAGTGTTCGTTGTGCTATAGTATCAGTAGCACCACTGGTAAGATTTAAGTTCTGTAACATTTTGTTTTCAAGACCTAAGCCTAATTACTGCATTTTAAAGGGAAAATTTTAGGCTAGATTATAATCTGTTTTGTTGAGCAGAAGCAAATCTGTAGAGGGCTAATCTGTAAATCAATGCCAACACGAAGACTATTTTTTTGAAGTCTGAAGAGCATAGTTTTGTTTGTGGAAAATTTTCAGTGGTCAGAGGTATTTGCTTCATAAATACTGCCCAAACTGCCCTACTTTTCCTTTCTGGCAGTTCCCAGCTGAGCGTTGATTTTATTAAACAGTTCTTTGAAGCCCCTTCTGTTCTCAAACACCTCACATGAGCTGTCATCTTCCTCAAGATAAGAGGACCTTTGCTTCAATTCTGGACAGTTTCCAGGACTGTGTGATATTTAATGAGTCTGTGTAACCTTGCTGATACTTAAGCATAATGTGTATGAGTGTGAGAGAGTGAGTGTGTGTGTGTGTGTGTGTATGGAGGTGTATGAATAAAGCAGAGAGTGTCTTCTGGTGGCAGTGGCTTCCTATAAAGTGTCCAAGGGGACAGAAGTGGTAATAGGGTTATTTTCTTGGCCCCTCAACGTGGCTGAGAAGCTGGCTTGGCCATTTATGCTTCAGCACAGCAGGTTGGTGACGAAACCTTTGCCTTGGAGGGAAGGTGTCCCAGTGTCCCAGAGGACTACAGCTGCAGACCACACTGATAACTAGGTCTGCCCAAAAGTCACCACCCACCTGTTTGGTTGGATTTTCCACCAAGGAGTCTTGGGCCACAGCTCCCAGGTAAACAGCTGCCACTAAAGCTTTGGTTTGGGAGGACCAGGAAGCCTGAACGCGGGTACACATGATCTCCATGATTTTGATTGTCCACATTATCAGCTCAGAGCACGACTCTCCTGAAACCCTTCTCCACCAATGTAAATACCGCCGATTCTGGAAAGGATCTTCCAGAATGAGCTGATATTCAAAGCCTACTCGTAAGCTGAAAAAGCGTTCCCAGCACCCGCCCAAATTCCAAGTACAAGACGCAGTTGGGTGTCTGGGGCAGGGGCCTGCACCTCTTTTTCAGAACTTAGGCTTGCAAAAAATAAATAAATAAATAAATAAATAAATAAAATCTGGAGAGTGCAGCCATGCAATAGCAACCCTGTTCTTACAGGGGGAGTAAGTCTGAATCCAGAGGGCTGGAAGAGCGCGATGGGAAACTCGCAGCCCTCTGTGTTTGCTTGTGTGCCACAGGCCGGCTCGGCTCAGGGTGTAGGGAGTAAGTCTTGCCCCACGAATGGAAGGGCAGAGGGAACGTGGGCGCGGAGGTGTTGGCTAGCAGCGCGGGGATCCCTCCTGGGGTTTCCCTTTGCGCGCAGATTTACCCTTTTGCAGAAGGAAAAGCGCAGCCATCGCAGCGGGCGCGCGGACCCGCAGTTCCCCGGGCGCCCCGAACCGGACCTGGGCGCGGCTGGGGGCGCTCTCCAGGGCCAGGCGCCCCCGGGGTGGTCGGGGTGGAGGGGGATCGAGCGGCGGGGAGCCCGGGCGGGGAGCCCCGAGGCAGACGCGCGCGCCTGGCGCCCCGCGGGGATGCGCGCCTCCTGCAGCTGGGCGAGGCTGCTGCGCCCGCTGGCGTCTTTTTCCTCCTCCGGTGGCCTCGGTTCCAGCCGGGCTGGGCGGGCCGGGTGGCGCTCGGGGGCTGGGCTCCGTGTCCCCACTTTCCCTCCCTCCCCGGGCCGTCCCGGGAGGGCGGGCCAATGAGCGCCAAGAGGAGGGGAGCGGGAAGCGGGGCGCGCTCCGCCGCGGGCCTCCTACGCGCCAGTGGCCGCTGCGCCAAAGCCAAGTTTGCGCCCGGGGAGTTTGCGCCGGTTCGCGTCCCGGGCCTCGCTGCCGGGTGCTCTGAGCCGGGCGGCCGCAGGCCCCTTGGGTGCAGCCACCCACGGGCGCTCGGGGGCGAGGACGCCGAGCAGGGGAGCGCAGGCCGGGGCTGCGCCTCCTGAAGATGCAGGATGGCAGCAGAGCCGCCGTCCAGCCCCTCCTACCGAACCACCGGCTCCACCTGCCTGCACCCGCTCAGCGAGCTCCTGGGCATCCCGCTGGATCAGGTAACCGCGCGCTGCGGGGCCCCCAGGAGCGTGAGCGCGGGGATCCTCCGAGCCCTGGCAGGCAGGGAGCCTGGGCACCATGCGGGGGAGGGTGGTTGTGGGGCGCGGGGAGTGTGACCTACCTGGGTCCCGCCCCTATAGCAGAATTTTAGAGCTACAAATCAAGACAGGTGGGTTTGTTTTTGTTTTTTTTTTTGGGTTGATGTTTTTCTCTTGTAAGTTGACATACCCGGCACGACAGGTTCGAATAAACTTTTTTTCTTTTTGTTTGAAGTTTTGAGATGACTGGTTTCCTGTAAGCAGGTTCTCAAGTGTTGAGATCCAGGAATCAAGTGTTTTCTTCTACCAGTAGAGTCAGGCTCTTGTCATTGTTAATTTTGATGATGTAAAAATAAGCCTGATTTCATCTGTAGTTTTTTTTTTCCCAAGATTATTTATGCATACAAGAGCTGGGGCACAGGCCAGAGATGCAGGGGTGAGAAGATTCACCAGAGACAGAGTGGGGAGCAGAACAGGCAGACTGACGAAATACACTGCTGAGGGGAGCAGTGTGCGAGACAGGAGGGGTCTGCCTCACCATGTGGGTAGCTCCCTGGCCAGCTGGAGATGGAACTTGTGCTGTAGAGGCTTCAGATTGCTTCATTATGCACTGCTTGACCCCCTGCGCCACCAGGGAGACCCTCATCTGTAGTTTTGGAATGAGAGATCTGGTGTTAAACTTAAGCAGCCAGGCTTATCAAAGCAGGGTGATGATTTTTTGTTTCATGTGTGGTGCTGCCAGGGGTGGGCGGTGCCCATGGATATTGTGGTTCTCCAGGACCTTATTCCCTCAATTTGGAGTTGCAGGGTCCTGAGTAGGACAAGTTAGTGGGGGAAGCTGTAATATTTTTGTTGAGTGTTGAAGTTATTTGAACCTTCCAGGAACCATTACATTGAAAATGGCAACAAGGAACAGTCATTCCTGGTAAGAAATCTTCCCGAGATGTTCTCATTTTCTTTCCTCTTTAGGTGCTGCCTTGTAGTCTGTAGTGAGTCAGTAAGTATATGTTGATTTAAATGAAAGAGGGTAAGGTGAACTGGAGAGGGACCTCAAGCGCTTCAGATGACTTTCTTTCATGCTGAGTTTTTGCCAGTTTTCTTTCTCTGCCACTCACTAGTGATTTTTTTCCTCCTTTCAAACAAGAACATACCTGCCGTCCCTTCCAACACATTCTTAGTGTTGGATTCCTTCAGCAAGGAGGAAGTGAGACTTGGAGTTTCTGTGTTGTTTACTGAGCCACCCTCCTACCCGGCTCCCAGTGAGGATCTGACCTTCTATCTCATCAGTGGCAAAATCCAGAAAATCAGGAAATTGGAAAGATGCTAACTCTTGCTTTCATAAATTACTTTGCTTTTTGTAGTTAGGGTACAAGAGGCCATGGCAGAGGCAGGCAGAGTAGCAGATTCTTTTGACCTGATATAAAGCATAAGCAGCCACATTTCCTTCGGGAGTGTTGGTTTTTCATTTACTCCTCTACCCCCTCATCACCATGTATTTTGATTGCATTTTTTGTTTTGAGCTGATCTGCACAGCTATAGAGAGGAATCCGCAGAGGCTTTTTGGATGGAAAGAGATAGCTCCGTGGACACTGGAAGTAGGATGTTATTAAGTGCTTTTTAACTGCATCCACCCTCACCCCCAATCTCCTGTTAAAGGAGCTCTGTTTTTAATTTATAAAAAAGAACAAAAGAGCCTTAGGGGTGTTTGAAACTGGAAGGGAGGGATTTCTGGGAGGAACGAAAGAAAAAAAAATGTGGGCTATAAGCGAAGACGCAGCTCTCAGGGATCCCCCCCCCCCACCCCCCTGCCCCGTCTTCCTCTGCACAGGGTCAAGTCTGAGTGATTGTAGGTGGAAAAAAACATTTCTGGTGCAAAGCCCCAGGTAGCTTATTTTAGGTCCAAGGAAAATCCCAAACCATAAATAATGTGGTTTGAGGTGAAATTGTGGCTTGAGAGTTTGGAAGCTTAGTGTGTTTTTTTCCCCTCACATGTTCAAGGGCTTTTAAAGATCAGACTGACAGGGTGTCATTCCCGCGCTGCCTGCAGACTCCCTCTGGCTGCTTTTCTGGCTGTTGTGGGTACTCCATCCTCATGCGTGGGGTGGCAGTGGCAGATGGTGATAAGACCTACATTTTGGTGTGGCAGAATCATGTTTAGATAAAAAAATACTCTACTGCGTGGAAGATCCTTTTATCAGACAGGGTTCTGGCAGAAAACAGAATCCAACTTAGTGGCTGCAATGAGAAGCCGCTAATGAACTGCTAAGAGGGCTGTGGGCAGCCTTAAGGGAACCAACAGAGGATGCTGAGATGCCAAGACTGGGTGCCCGAGAGGCAAGGAGTAAGCTCTGCTGTTACCACTCAGTGAGAGCTGCACCCAGGCCCTGGGGGATGCAGTGGGGGATGCCTCCCATCTTACAGCACCCCCATCTTTTGCAAAGGTGACTGGCCTGAGGCATCTAGGTACTGTGGTCTTCAGGGGCTTCTCCTGGGCACAGACCAAAGGCACAGAGAAAAGTGAACCCAGATCTGAAGTGCAATCCCAGAAGTGTGCAGTTCTTCATACATGTTCGCTTTGGCCCCATTATGTAGTGACCATCCATTGGCCTCAAGTTCCCTCCCACATGGGTCTTCCTATGTTCCTCAGTGATGTCGAGTCCATTCCCACTGTCTTAACCAGTTCATACCTATGTTCATAATTTCTCAGTTGATGGCATTTCTGAGAACATCTTTGAGTTCTGGGTATGCCTGTGTCAAGTAGTTTATTATCTGCAAAACTGGGACTATCTAGTGAACAATATCCATGGAACATTCTACCTTGTGGGGCCTCCCTGGTGGTGCAAGAGGTTAAGACAGAGCACTATGAAGCTATCTGCAGCCACTGCAGCACGAGTTCGATCCCTGGCCAGGGAGGTGACCCACATGGCGCAGCAGACCCCTCCTGCCTCGCCTGCTGCTCCCCTCAGCAGTGTATTTCAGTGTATCTGCCTGCTCTGCTCCTCACTCTGTCTCTGGTGACTCCTCTCACCCACCGCATCTCTGGCCTGTACCTCAGCTCTTGTTTGCATAAATACATAAATCTTAAAAAAAAAAAAATTCTACCTTGCGAGTGAGGAACTCATTCCTTTTCATCAGATTTTTCCAATTACCTGTTCTGTTAACTGCTGGGGGGAGCCTGTGTGCAATTGTGACTTTACCGAGGACAAGATTGGGGTTTTAATTTCCAGGGACTTTTACTAGTTGACATTCTCCTAAAACGGTTAAATGAAAAATGTCTCGTTTAATTAGAGACACATAGAGCACAGCCACTCAGATCCAGAGTAGAGAAGTGGAGCATGATTCAGGGGCCTCCCTAGTGCCTTGCAGAAGGATTGCTTGAAAACTTGCTAAATAATGAGTCCCCATCTGTCTAGCAAATATGGAGCCATGGCCGTTAGTAGAACTTCTCGGACACAGTGCCTCACTTACCCAGGATAAATGAGATCAGAACTTTCCTTTCCCATCAAGCAATGGAAGATGTGTGTTTTGATAAGTTTAAATCACCTCCTTGCCTTCTCTGCTTTGTTTGGGCTGTGGGGTGTGACATGATCTGTCTTTAACCGGAGGCTTCTTGGTTTGCAAAACTGACTGAACTAACAGGATGAATGCTTTTAATGTTGATGTTATTAATTTGTGTGATGTGTGGTTATGTTCCAGCTGGGAAAGCTGAGAAAGAAACCTTTTCTGGCTTTAAGGAATTTCCATTTTGGTGGTGAGGAATTCTGGCTGTCAGAGATGTTTTTTCCTACTGGCACCACCAAACTCTGTGTGTGTTTGCATAAAGTGTCAATTCACTATTAAAGTAAGATACTAGATTTCTTTGTCTAGTTTCCTCCCCCTCTAGCTTCCTTTCCCCTATGTAATCTGCAGAAAAAAGAGGTAAGGAAAAATATACCAGGAAATTAGAATCCAGGAAATGATTCTGAGATTAAAGCAGCAAAGGTTTGGGACTATTAACATGAGCTTGTGTTACAGTTTAAAAGCAGAGTGAATGAAGACCAGCTCTGAAGACCCGGAGATCAGATTAATGGTGATAGAGCACTGGGTTTTGATCATTTCTCTGGGACTGCTGATCACAGGCTTCTGGACTTGTCTGGAGCTTTCTGTCACCTGGCTGATTCCTTGTCCATTCTTGGAAAGCCCAACCTTCAAGTTCTTATCTGAGGCTTGCCCTTCCTTAAAAGTTCGGCTCACATTCCACAGTCATTATTAAACCAATTAAATATTTATTTAACGCTGGTAGTGCCGGGTGCCTGGCCAGGTGGTAGAAACATGGGGGTGAAAAAATCAGGGTCTCTGTCCTCAAATAGTTTATATTTTAGTAGATGGTACCAAGGACCCATTTAAGTATACATGTGCCATATTCTCACAGGCCTTTGTAGGTGGTAACAGAGGTTCCTAAATGGTACCCTGGTAGAAAAGAGAAAGGAGGGCCTCCCCTGGTGGCGCAGGGGTTGAGCGCTGGGTTGTGAAGCTGCCCGCAGCCTCTGCAGCGCCGGTTCGATCCCCAGCCACCAGCAAGGGTCCCATATGGCGCACAGACCTCTCCTGCTGCGCCCGCTGCTCCCCTCAGCAGTGTATTTCATCAGTCTGCCTGTTCTGTTCCCTGCTCTGGCTCTGGTGAATTCTCTCACCCTCCCGTGCTCCTGACTGTACCCAGTGCTTGTATAAATAAATAAAAAAAAGAAAAGAGAAAGGACACCAGGGACAGGTTGGGCTCCTGTGGAATTTACTGTTTATCTTTGATAGGGTTTACATTTAACACTTAATAAGTGTCACGTTCTATGGTTAATTATCTTGCTGGGTTCTATGTTGAATTTCAAGGTTCTTTGAGGTTGCAGTTTTATCCTTACATTCTATGGATATAATAGGTGCTCATAAGTGCTTATCATTAGTAACAATATATGCCAGTGTTAATGATA